ACTTCCTCTCTCCCGAAGCCCAGTCTATACGTACTGCCAGTACCGATTCAATCGAACACTAAGGCTGGAAAGCCACAAACGGGAGAAACCCGAATCAGCCGCTTAATCAGACCAATACACCCCAGTGATGCGTAGGAGCTGCCTGATGGGGCGCACTTGTCCCAATGACAGAATAGGGTCGATTCGGCTTAGCATGTCTGAACTATGAGGTGGGATCTGTGCATGTGCATCTTTTGCATATGTATGCATATTAAAGAGGAGGATGCTGTCCTGAAAAATAGAAACACAATGTGAAAGCACTATTTATGTGGGTAGACGGAAAGACAGCAATTTGCTTGCCTTCATATCATAAGAAATCATTCTCTCAATTGCCTCATTAAAAGGGTAAAATCTATGCAAAAGGACGACCTTATGAGTGAAATACACCCACCAAGGTCGTATTTGGGCCATATAACTAGAATCCTGCCCTAGGCACAGGCCCTGCTAGCACAATTTACGGTGGGACCCTTGGCCGACTTGGCAACTTCGGCACATTCAAGACCAGCAGAGGCAGGCAATGTAAAGAGCGTCGATGGGAGAGCTTGGCTTTGAGTCCGGCTTGAAGGACCGGAGGAGGGCCAGGCGGTCCAGGAGTCCTGTGTGATTGGGTCCCGTCGAACAGCCCCGTCAAGGGGCCAATCTCGCGAAAACCGCTAGGTTGGAAGCCTAGGTTCCTGCACCTCAGGAGCATACTTTCCACAGAGTCAGTAGACAAGGTACGCATGGTTGACACCTGTATTCACCCAAGGTCTCATTATACCAATAAAGTTCCCTTAACCGGGCCTCCCAAACGGTACTCTCATCCTGCCTGGGCTAGGCCAATCGTCACAGCCCAAACCGGACTCAAACTTGAGAATTGCACCTTTATTTTCAATTTTTGACACGATACCACCTCAGATTGCTACAAATGCCAGCGGGCTACAGGACAGACGGGATTTTTAAGGCCGGCCAAACTTTCCCCAAATCACAATTATGCTGGGATGTAGTTTTGAATCAAAATCTACTGGCTACTTAATATGAGTATACCCTGCATATTCATATATCATATTTTACAGTATTTTGTCATTACGATCGAGTAAGTTACGTAACTTCATAAAAAGTAGTAAGTGTTCAAGATTAAATGGTAGTCTTGAAGCCTATTTCATGTGAATACACATGACTTTCACCTCCTGAAGCACACGTATCCATTGGAACGACAAAACGAGTTAAGCTATAAATGCCCTGGAGACACCAGATTCTTAAATGCATTGAGCTCGAGGCATGCTCTATAACCAGGAGGCACAGTGCTACTCAAGTATGCCTCCACTTTGCGGGCGATCTAGGCGGCTGTAACTGAGCGTCGTTTTGTGTGTAAAAAGAAATGCTGGATTTAGAATAAACCCTTTTATTTCGTCCGAAAAGTTGAGTAATGATAACACAGCTGGGTCTCAATGTTGACTTTAGGTTTGGAGCGTTTCGGTAAAGAATGCTTCTCCACTGTTAGGGCCAGCCATATAAAAGCTCGGCTAGGACGAATCGGGATCGCATGGGGGTGTGACAAGAACATATACTCAACCTCGAGGCAACCTACAAGCTTTCAAGTTCGACCTTAGCCAGATTTAAAATGAACTTTAATTTGTCTTTACAAACTAG